GAGCCCCTCCTCCAGCCCCGAGCCTGCTCCTCGGCCCCAAGCCCCATGTTAAACCTGACTGAAGACCCTCACGAGGGGGACAATCTGATTCCCCTGTGCTGGGGACCAACCCTGCGCTGCAGAGCGATGCCTGGGGGAGCAGCTTTCCAATTCCCACCTCCACAAGAGTAAAGATTTGAAGTTGTGTGTGTCAGAAAGTCCCCCAATTCCCTTTTCTTTTGCAGTTATTCTAATGATCTGCCTCTTCGCCATCAACTCGAGGGGGTTTGGGGCTGGTTGTCAGAGGGTTTACTCTTCTATGCATGGCACTGTGACGGTGCGGGTTATGGTGGGGTGGAACGGGGGCGCAGCAGGCACCTCCAGCCTGCACCCCGGGCTTGGGGCGCGTCTTATGGCTCTGACAGGAATCCTCCTCCCCCCCTGCAGATCCCTTTGCTGACTACATGGAGGGGGCAGCTTTGTGCCCGCCTGAATGTCACCAGCGAGGCGGCGCTGAGCTGGTACCTGGCACGTGCCCGGCGCCTGCGGCAGGCGCTGGGCGCCACGTACATGGTGTTCGAGGGTGCTGAGGGCAACGCCTTCCTGGAGCAAGCTGTGCCCCCTCCCGCCGAGCTGGCGGGCGGCCGGTACACCGGGGTCTTGGCGGAGGCACTGGTGACACTGGGAAACGCCACCGTCATCAGCGCCGGTGCCAGGTGGGTACCACCGAGGTGACGCTTTGCTCTGCAGGAGCTGCTTGGGAGACGCTGGAGGTGATGCTTTAAATGTGCCCTTGGGATGCTGAGGCACTGCTCAGGACCCAGGGGAGCAGCGTGGAGGTGGCCTAGGGCAATGTGCAGGGTTATAGAGTCACCCTGCTTGGAAAAGACCTCTAAGATCATCAAGTTCAACCATTACCCCAGCACTGCCAAGACCATCACTGAGGGCCTCATCTACATGGCAGGAAAGGGTTGCCCTGGTATCTCTCTTCCTCTCTCTTTTGGAGCACCTTAATAATGTTTTTTAATGTCTTGGAGCATAAAAATGCTTACGTGCATTAATGCCTGATGCAATAAAAATGCATCTTGCCACTTACGGCCATTCAAGCTCCAGGCTGCTGTCTCTTCTGCAGAAGGGAAGGGGAGAACCCTGGAGTCTTGGCCAAATCCTTGCACTGGAATTGCTTGTGGTGTCAAACCACTGCAGTTCTCTGACTTCTCACGCTTGCGTAACCCACAACAGGGTTAATTTATTAATGAGCATTTGTAACACCCCTTGAGACCATTTGGTTAGAGGCACTCAAAAACGTTTCTTTCGCTCATTATGTTTGCCTGGCAGATGTAAGGGGACATGAGGCTGTTTGCAATATGGCTTATTTCATGTTGGGGATGAGGCACTGATGTAAATTGCATGAGAAGGCAGCTTCAGAATCATTCCTTTTCAAAGGAAAAGCAGCATTTCACATGCTGAGGTGGTGACAGGCTGTTACTCAGCCACCTGCCAAACCACAGTGATGGGAATGGCCCATTTTCTCACCACTCTTCAGTCCATCCAGGATCATAGCTTTCCGGGGGGGCAGCTTCCATTCCAGAAGCGTTCTATAAACCACTGCATCAGCCCTACCTCCCCTAGGACGAAAGTGTCCCTGGAGACCTCTGGGGAGTCAGCAAGTTGGTGACGGGTTGAGGAGGAAACCGAACTCTGGGAACAAGAAGACTTAGACCAAAATCCCCCTTTGGTTTGATGAGCTCCAGACCATTTTTCAAGCTAAAGCTCACTGTGAAGGTCTGGGCTTGACACCTTTTGGTCACCAGGAACAGTCTCCTGCTTAGTGACATGACCACCTACTCCCCTCCAGCTGAATCCAGTGCACAGAAATGCTCTTGGAGGGGAAACAGCAGCAGTGGGGGTGCTGTCGGGATACCCCAGCCAGTGCCATGGGTATGGTTTTGTGACTACTTTCCCGCCAGGGTCAGTGGTGCCATACGAGAAGTAGCAAGAAGATGGCTCCAGCCCAGAGTGTGGCTGTGCTGCCATTAATGTGGGCCACCAGACTGTGGTCCTCATGAGATGAAGCCAGGAGAAGGAAAGCTTTGAACGGGGGTTTTGGGAGAAGGAGGGGGATTGGGGTTGCCAGGCTCAGCAGGGCAGGCGCAGACTGTGGGGGTGATACTGGGGAGCACTGGTTTCCCTCCAGAAGAGATGCCAAGTGGTTGGAAACCCCACGTCTCTCGTGAGCCATCTAAACCCACCGGGTCTGTGCTTGTTTCCCCCAGATCCAGTCACCTACCTCTCTTCATCCAGATGAGCCCCCTGCGCTCGGACTGGAGCCACGCTGGGCTGAAGGGGGTAATTCCCTCCGTGCTGCACTACAGCCTCCTGGGCTACAACTTCCTCATCCCTGATGCAGTAGGTAAGCAGGTTATCATCTCTTTTCTGCAGAGGTTCTGGTGGCAGTCGAGGTGGGACGAGTGCAGGAGGTAGTTTGCACTGTCTGGCTCAGGTGTGTTGTACAGAGCCTTGAAGCACTTTGCTCCCCATACCCCATTTTGTGACTGGATTGGGGTGAATGTAACCAGGAATTGACTGAGGAATGGAAAACAAAGCCCAACATGCTGTAAATGTGAGCAGGCAGGGCTCTGGGGATGCCCTTTGCAGAGCTCCTTAACCACAGGCTGAGGGCAGCTCCCTGCCCCTCGCAGCTTTGCTGGAGCTAAAACCCACCCAGCAGAAGCAAAGAGGGAGCCCACAGCCAGGGAAGTGCTGCCCAGGCTCCTGGCTGGGAAGCAGATGTTCCTGAAACACCAGCAGCTCCTGCTCCAAGTCTGTGTTTCTGCTCCAAAGCACAATGCTTGAGAAATCCTGAAACAAAAATGTTACAAAAGGCCAAAACAATCCTTGAACTGAAGCCAAGCAGCTTGGTTTTCCCCTCTTCTTGGAGGTGACCGCGTTGTTGTGTTCAAAACGTGGCGCAAACACGTAGAAGCTGCACATGAAGTGTCAGACCCAGAGGGTAGAGCTGCAAAGAGCCCTGGCAAAGGGGTTGTGGAGCAATTCTTCGAGTTGGCCTCTATTTTTAGGCAGTTTTCCTTAGAAAACAAGGTTTAGGCAATCACAGCAGAGAGATGCTGAACCCGCTGGTGTATGGGGCTGCATCGCCTCAGCCCGGGAGCTGCAGCAGCACCCAGGGGCTGCTTGGGGTGGGAAGAGCCTCTGGAGGGGGATGGGGCATTGCGGGTGATTTGGGTGAGCCCTTGGCTCGGTTCCGTGTGTCATTTCTTCAGAAGCTCAGCCAGATCTTCAGATCGAGGATGCTGCAGCCCCAAAGGCTTCATCTCCCTTTCTCTATCCCGTTCCTCTCCTGTCCTTCCCAAGCCCCTCCATGCCTATTCATAGGGCAACTGGAATTCCCTTCCATTGCATGTTTTTGATAGGAATACTCTGCTGCTCCACTGCTTTTCACTACGGAGTTGAAGGGAGCCAAATCACAGGAGTATTCTCCCGTGATGCTTTGACTTTGCACACCAGCGTGGCAGGAAAACCCAGCACTTCCCCAAAGCTTTTCATTGCAGGAAAGAGATCCCTTTTTACATGTTCTGATCAAATACAGAAGCTCCTGAGACATCATTCCCAGCAGGTCGGGTCCTAAAATGGCCAAAGATCATAGAATCAGAGCGGTTTGTGTTGGAAGGGACCTTAAAGCTCCTCCAGCTCCAACCCCTGCCACGGGCAGGGACACCTTCCACTAGAGCAGGTTCCTCCAAGCCCCTGTGTCCAACCTGGCCTGGACAGGGATGTTTGATATTTGCTGGTGGTGCTCAAGGAAGGAAAACCTGGATGGGAGAACGCAGCTCCTTCTGCAGTGGGGCAGCTTGTCCTGCCCGCATGGAGAGCCCAGAGACCGAGACGCCCCTGAGCGGCTTCACTGAGCCCCGTGTCCCTGCAGGAGGGAGCCTGGCGGGTGACACCCCGCGGGACATGGAGCTCTACGTGAGGTGGCTGCAGGTTGTGACGTTTCTCCCCGTGATGGCCTTCAGCACACCGCCCTGGCTCTGCTGCGACGCCTGGGTATGTACCCCTGCGCCCCACGACGAGGACTCCACGTCCCTTACACAGCAAACAGCCCCAAAAGCCATTAACGTGCCTTCTGGGGGAAAGCTGAGGCTAAACCCCACAAAACCCTGCTCTGCCCCAGCAGCTACGTCACTGAGCGTTGTCACAGTGGTTTTGCAGCAAAATTAATGTGAGGTTTTGGGGTTCTGTACTTCGTGGCTCTGTGTAGACACAAGGATGGTGTCTACGGTGCCTGCAGAAATGACACCAGTCACCGTGTGTGTGTGTCCCTCCCGCTGCTACCGGGGTTGTTTAGTTACAGCTTGACTAAATAGTTAATATCTACAGCAGAGTGGAGCCTGTAGCTTCACATTCAAGATGTTTCTAAACAGCTGGAGGCATTTTCATACAATCCCAGCCTGGTTTGTGCTGGAAAGGACCTTAAAGCTCCTCCAGCTCCAGCCCCTGCCACGGGCAGGGCAACCTTCCACTAGA